TCCTCCATAAAATGTGCTGCACACATCTGAATATTTGGGTTGAACTGTTCTGGAACAGTGTTGTAAATACAACTTAACCACTGATTTCTAGTCGTGTCCTCTTTTGGAAGGCCAAACACAACGAGAAACACAGCGTCACACACGGCGACCTTGAGTGAGGAACGGCCGGCGGATTCGACGAAGGAGCGGCCGGCAAACACACAGCGACTTCACGACATGGCAGCGGGGGAAGCAACAATACTACAGCGACAATAAAAGTTACACCTTCTTTCTTTGCGTGAACATTTGGACGGCGTTATGCAAATCTTCCCACATCGTGACGTAGATATGTGGGGGCGGGGGCGTGTTAGAACGAGCCGTTTTAGGTAGGCGTGGCTGACTCTTAACTTTTATAAAGAATATCTCTTTGGATTTGAGACTTTAGTCTTTGCAACTTTACAGATCTTCTTTATGACCCAGAGCTTGTATCACTACAAAGAGAAAGGAAAAATTTAAATCGCATCATATGACCCCTTTAAACAATATTAACAGCTACGACTTTTGATTTTAATAAAACACTAGTAAATGTTGAAATTAACATTAACTACGATTAATAAATGCTTTAGAAATATTTTCTATTGTTAGTTAGTTAACTAATGTGGAACCTTATTGTAAAGCATTAACAAGATTTATATTTCAAATAAATGCTTTTATTTTTAACATTATTTTAAAATTATAATAATATTTTACAATATTACTGAAAATGTGATCAAGTAAAGGCAGCCTTGGAGAGCATAAGAGGCTTCTTTCAAAAACACTTAAAAAATCTTACAGACCCAAACTTTAATTAGTAATGTAAATGAAAATGACTTAAAAACACAAGCTGGATCTAACTGACTTATGTTGGTATACCTGAAAGGTTGTTGGTGAGGGTGCTGGACTGGCCTGGATCCATCTGTCCTGAGGGACTGCGTACCATGTGACGAGGGGGGCGGGGAGAACGCTTCTGTTTCTTCCACTTGGACGACTCGCTCATTCCCCCGGCTCTCATCTTTAGCTTCAAAACAAACACAGACTTGTTAAATCAGGCCAAATGCTGCAGTTCACTGCACAAAAGAACCAGGCAGGCACGCAAGACGAAAACATAATCTCATGACACCTCAAATTATCATAAAAAACAATGCCACCACTCAAAAAGATGCATAAACACACATAGTCGTGTCATTTTATCAAAAAACTCTTGGGTCTTTATGTATGCTGAGGTGATTGTGTTCACTTTTATCAGTATATAAATGCTTAAATCAGTAAAACTAATGTGATTTACATACAGGATGTTATTATTTGTATAGGGATGAGAAGCAATAAAAATGGTACCAGTTACTTAATCACATTAATGTTTCTTTTATTATTTTTGAAGAAACATCTGACAGTAGTGCACCCTCACACACAGAACAGAATGATGTGATTCTGGAGAAATATTTTTTTCTTTTTTTTGTTTTGCCCATTTTTTAGGCAAAATGCTGTTTAAGAATATATTTACCCCCATTTCCAAAATTCTAGTAGTAAAATTATTTTCAACTGATGTTTCTACAGTAACAAATCAACACATTTATGGTAATAATGGCTTTTGAAAACATATTTTGTCAGCATAGTGTTTTCACATTCAATTCAGATTGCAAGCTCACAACTCAGCTACCCATTCATTCTCCTATAGGGAATTTTAAAAAGTCTTCAAAGCAAACAAATATTGAAAATTGGACAAGTCAAAGGTAAAGAACTGTGTATTTAATGGCTTTCATTTGGAAAGAACTAGAATCCCATAAAGTAGGGCTGCAAGATTAATTGTATTTTATTCATGATCACAATTTCTGCTTTTCTCAATTAATTTAATGTAATCATCTGTAATATTTGCCCACTGGTTATTTATGCTGAGAAAGCTTCTTTTTTTTTTTTTTTGACATTTCCTTTCTCCTGAATTAGTAACAAGCCTCCACAAGCTTTCATGCTTGTGGTTGCCAGATGTCAAGAGTTTAAATTCCCTAATCAAAGCTTCTCTCTTAAATGGATACATTTTCTGCCCAGTGTTTTACTTAATCTTTCCAAGCTGGCAACCTTGCGCACATGCTCTCTCCACACTAGGTGCTGAATAAATGCACTTACGCAACATCTGTGCCACAAAATAATGTGTGTTGTTTTAATAGAAAAAAAACGTAAACAATTTGGAATTATTGTAATTAACAAAAGGAGTTTAACTGCTTTTTAGAAAACCTTCCTGAAGGTTTTACAGTTTTTCATATAATATAGACTGTTAATGTAGATAAATATAATAAATCAGCAAACTAGAAAAAGGTAAATTTATTCTCTTGATTTATGCTTATGTGAAGGTGCAATAATTCTAAAAAAATGTAAAAAGAAATTCTTAAATGAGAATGATTATAATTTGATTATCAGTCTATCCATTATTGTGCAGAATTATCTGATTGATGATTTCTTTAAAGAAGCATGGGTAACATAGTTACAACAAAACCATATACCATCAATGAACAAACTCACAGTTCACAGTAAGTCTTTCTTTATAGTATATTGTTAAAAAACAACTCCCCTATGGAGAAAATGAATGGGATTATTACTTCCAGAACCTGATTATTGCACTCTATTGTGGTGCAGAAAACGGTCTACCATTTTAGTCTGTTTTTTCATATGCATTAGCAGAAGAATGCAGTTAAATGCGTTTTTAATTAAAATACATTAAAAACAAACTGAAACAGTATCAAAAAAAACATCTAATGCTTGTCTCAGCTTGTTTCACTAGCTTTCAAGAAACACTGTATTCAGTGAATTCTAACATCAACATGAGACCAAAAAAGTAACAAAGAACTTCAACCTGGACCTGTTATACTGTCAAAACACTGTCATATGTTAAATACATGGGGGTTGTACAAGGTTAAAGTGAGTCTGATCTCTTCTTCCTTACCTGCACTCGTTTGTTTTTCCATAAGATATTGTAAGCCTCAGGAGAGAAGGGGCAGGCCCCGGGATTAGTGATGGACATGTCACAAGCTCAGAGGGAGACGCATGACATGGGAGCACATAGAACTTCATGCATGGGGTGTACATGGGAGAAATCGACACGCATACCAGGACGACATCCATGCACACACATTCATTATCAGGAACTCAATAACACGCTCATTCAACGACATTAACCCGATGCATCTCTGAGAGGAAACGGAGGGAGTAGCACTTCAGCATACGTTACAAACAAACACCTATTAATTGGGGAGACTAACCAAGGATAAAAAATAATAGGTGCAATAAACAGACCAGGAACACACAGAGCATGCAAAATGGCAGTCAAATAGGATTTCTGGTCTTTAAAGAATAAAACAAAAAAAAACACTCGAATGAATATAAATTCAAATACAGAAAGTAACATTCAAATGAAACTATGGAACCAAAATGAACATATGAAAATAAAAGTCCTGATGTGGTTTCACCTCAACTCAGTGTATTTGCATAAAGTATAAAGCTGGACCTAAACTACAGGTATGTTACATAGTTTACCCATGACTGTTCATCTAATATTCTTTCTTTAGAATGACACATCTCTCTAAATTCACTTCATACTCATTTGAAGTATTATTTACAAACCCTAATATTTCCATATTAAAAAAACATTGTTTAACAATCCATAGGAATAGCTACTTGCACATTTCCGTTTTTTTTTTGAAGGGATGATTTGGGTCTAGAACAAGTTAAGCTTCATTGACAGCATCTGTGGCACAACGTCAGTTGCCACAGACCAAGGGTTCCCCAGGTTTTTTGCCAGCCAAACCCCTTTGACAAAAGATTTTCTTCAAGCATCTCCTGAGATTTTAAGGTAATAATAATTTAACAACACATTTGCATGACATGCACAGAAACAACATTTTGTCTTTGTAAATGTTTAGATTTTTAAAAAATATATTTTTACTATTTTTAATTTCTATAATTATTACTTTTAAATTGCTTATTTAAAGTAAAGGGCTGCATGATTTGGTAGGAAAAAAATTACTGGGATTAATTTGGAATGTACTGCAAATTGAACTGCGATATGATAAATGTTTCATAAAAAACATCTTATGAACTCCTGTTTTAAAAGCACAAAATTCTTAACTACTTTTTATCTGTGAATAGTAATAGTAAAATTATATTCAATTTTCAAGCAATTTTGTCAGTTTAGGTAATACAAAGTTTCGTCTTGAAACTTGAATAGAAGCATTTTGAACAAGAAGAAATTACATGCCACAGATGTTGTCAAAATAGCTGAAATTGTATTGGATTGAGATTATCCCTTAAAAAAGATGATGAGAACTCATTTTTGTTGCTATGATAAATGGCTGCTTTTATTCCTTAGCGAATCTCCCCACCATGCATTCAAACATAAAGCCATGCGTCCCGGCGTATTTATAGGGGTCATATGATCCAATTTCAATTTTTCCTTTCTCTTTGAAGTGTTACAAGCTCTTGGTGCATAAAGAAGATCTGTAAAGTTGCTAGCTGCAACCCAATAAAAACTGCTGTTTTAATGCATGTAAATGTGCTATACCCTCTCTAAGCCCATCTGATTGGTGTTTCTAGGCTGATCTGCATAAATAAAATCCTGTGTGTCCAGAATACAGCCTGGGATCTGCGAGTTGGAACAGGCAAATGGGCACAGGATGAACTCGACAACAAAAATCAGGTATGAAAAGACAGGAGAAGAGAGAATCTTTGATCCCTAAACAATTGAGATGAAAAGAAGCAAAGGTCTTTCAAATACAGAACCAACTGTGACTGGAAAACACAGTTAACTCTCACTACATACTATTTTCCATCTCCTGACCTGATGGATGACACACACACACAGGTATAATAATTATGCAACAGCTACTGACCTCACTTATGGTTATGAAGACCTCTACGTAACAAAGCTCATAAAGTAAATGAGAAATGAGGAAGGCAGATGGGAAACAGGTGTAAAGGGTCTGGAGGGAGAATGAAGATCTGGGGAGGATTTTATATTTACCTTCTTCATGTTAGTGCCCACATAACTCTTGGCCTCCTCTTTGAACTGTGGCAATCTGAAAAACAAATATTACAATATTACTGCATGCATTTATGGCACCACTTTTTTTATGAGTGTTATAGAGGTGAAGAGTGACATTTTTGAACTACTACTAGCACAAATACAGAACCACAATCTGTGTAAGTGGCCCAACTGGGTGTGACATAATACTGAACCAACTACATGAGTTTGGGATGAAACTGTGTTTGTCTGACCAAAGACAGAGTTGTTATTTTCACAGTTCTGTTTGGTGTGACAAGCTCTGCAGAAATAACACAGTTCGGTTTTAAAGGTCAATGTCTTTCAAAAATTCAATTTTAAAATGATTCTCTAATGTACAAATCAGGGATTTTCAAACTCCAGACACGCTTAGAATTCAAACCTTGAATTTGTTTCATAACTGATAAACTTTGTACTTACAGAACTGAATTGAATTAATACAGAACTAAACTGATCTATATTTTAACACTATTGTCATCTAAAATTCAAGTTGTTTCATAATTGATAAATATTGCAAAATTAACGGTTACTTTATTACTATGAAGCTGCATTGAAACAATCTGTATAAATAAATGTCAATAATATAAATAAAAATAAATAAATTTGACTTGACTTTAGGGGGCTGCAAAGAGGTGCTTAGGGGTCGGTGGAATTTTATTTAATTTTTTCTGGGAAAAAAACATTGGAAAATGTATTTACAGCTGTCAAAGTTAACATATATGTCAAATACATAAGAATTTTATTCAAATATGGGTTAAAATTAAAAAAAATAAAAAATAAATAGACCAGATATTAAATACATGTAATCATATTTTTTTTTTTACATTTTCCAAATTTTGTTTTATTTTGCTTTCTAAAGACTAGATGGAATAATTAATGAGTATTCACAAATATAACAAATAATTATTTACAGCCTTAAGATTCAGATGTTTTCAATTGAATGCAAAGTAAAAAATTAAGTGCAATATAAAAGTCAATTATTTAATTTTGGAATTATGTCTTTATAATATGATGCTTAATACCTTTCTCACACAGTATAAATAGGTCTTTATCCATGTAATTTTGAAGATGACATATATTTGCTTCATATATTTTAGAAAAGGGGTCCCTTGCAAGGGTTTTTGTCATTTTCTGGGGGCTTTGGCATTAAAAAGTCTGAAAATTAAATACTCCAAATGTTCTGAGTAAAATTCGAGCCACATCTAGTTTCCCAAACTGCAGATGAATTAACTCATTCGGAATCATCATTCTCTCTAAAACCAAATCGGAGGAGAGACAATATGTCCGCAGAGTCAGCATCTCTGCTCCCAGGGCGTGACTTTTGACCCCCTGCGCTGGTTCATTAGCTGAATTAGATGGATGATGTTCTCAGCCTCGAACGCATTGTCTGCATGTGTGTGTGTTGTGTGGACACTGCGGCTTTTCCTCGAGTGAGATGTCAGCGCTCGCACAGGCAGGCTGGGAGAGACGGCTCCTGATGTTAACTCTGCTCCGCGTTAATGGAGTGTTGTCTTGCCGGCTTGATTATAGGATGATCTGTGAGTCCAACAGATTAACATCCCTAATGCTTTCAGCAGGCTGCTTAAGCCTCCTTCTGAGCACTCAATAAGATCCGCTGTTCATTACTCTGGCGCTCTCTCGACCACACACACACACACTCTACATTCACTGCTTATTACCCTTAGGCACACAGAAATACACACACTCATTATTAAGGCCTTTCACACCCTCATTGTGAAGGCGATGTGGACAAGAGGGTCTGGGCAATAAGAACATGCACAATGGGAGCGGCAAACTCAGGTTGTGAGTTTGTGTGTGTGTGTGTGTGTGTGTGTGTGTGTGTGTGTGTATTTGATATTGTGTGTGTGTGTGTGTGTGTGTGTGTGTGTGTGTGTGTGTGTGTGTGTGTGTGTGCATTTCTGATATTAAAAGGCGTTATCAGCTATAATTAAAAATTATTAATGAATGCTACTCATCTGAAGGACGTTTACAGTGTGTGAAATTATAAAAACAAACAGCGGATGTTTACATGGTTTGAAAACCGGGTCAAAACACTTATATTATTCAGACGCTTCTTTTTAATGCAAAAAATATGATCTGTTCTTTTTTGATGAAGTATTTCATAAGAGACCAAATTTTGTCATTATTTCTTTGTTGCGCGTATATACGTGTGTGTGTGTGTGTGTGTGTGTGTGTGTGTGTGTGTGTGTTTGTGTCCACCTAATCTATATGCAGATGGGTAGAGTGAGATGTGCTCCGCGGTCTCATCCTCTCGTCTGTACGGGATGTGACTGGAAGTCTAATGCAAGTGGATACGCACCTCTCATAAATGCCACCCCATAATCATGTTATTGCATTAGAGCAGCAGTACACTATGACCTGCACGAGAAGACTAAGGGCTTCTGCTCACAATTACACCACAATCATAGAACTGCATGTTAGATATGAACTAGTCAGAGCTAAAATTTAAAACTACATATTTCTAGATCGTTCATGATTATGATATATGGGCCATTTCAAGTCCATAATGATGTCAGTGAACTATATCTGCATTTAATAATGGTATCTAGACATTTATGGCCAAGAACATGTTACAAATTGCAACGTTTGAATATCACCTTGGAATTTAATATTCTTAACATTCAAACATATGTAGACAAATGATATCATGAATAATTTAAGGTTCTAAAGTAGGCCCAGATGGTTAACTTTTTTCAACATTTTCCACACTGATTTTAAGGGAACGCCTGTGAAATTTAGCAGAATTCATTTACTACACTTATTTGTAACTTTTTCTATTGGACATATTGATAATTAATTAATTCAATTAAATAAATGCAATTCAATTCAACATTTGGGGAAAGTAAGGTTTATTTAAATTAATTTATTTTTAAGAAATGTTTTAAATGATTAAATTGATTAAAATAAGTGTAAAATTATTATTAAATTGTATTCAAATTTTAATTTATTAAATTGACTTTAAGTGACAGTAAAGACTTTTACATTGTTTAAAAAAAAAATTATTTCAATAAATGCTATACTTTTGAACTTTGTACTCGAAAAATCTTTACAAACATGGTGTCCACTGTCCACAGAAATATCAAAGCCGCGCAACTGTTTTCAACATTAATAATAATAAGAAAGGTTTCTTAATGCAATAAATCAGCATATTAGAATACTTTTTGAAGGACAGTGTGGCACTGAAGACTGGACTAATGATGCTAAAAATTCAGCATTGCATCACAGGAATAAATTGCATTTTATAGTAATATAATTTTGCAGATTTTTGATCAAATAAATGCAGCCTTAGTGAGCATAAGAGACTTCCAAAAACATTTAAAAATCTTAGTGATGCCAAAACTTTTGAAAGGGACTATTTGAAGCAATTTTTATGTTTCCCCCATACACTGTGGTCCAGAGAGAGAGCACTGCAGAAGCAGATTCTGTGTGGGCCTGGTAATTAGCCATGCTTTGCATTGTCAAAGACTGATGCTTTCACCTGTCCCTATCTGCGTGTGAGGGGAAGTCAGAAACCTCCAGAGGTAATTGAGAGAGGCCTGAGAGTGAAACCAGAGCCCGTTACGGAGACAGACCCAGTTCCTGTTGTGTTTGGTCTCAGGTTCGGTTTGATTATGTGAACAGCAAGAACACGACTCTGTTCCTAATCCCCATCTCTACATCCCCTCTTCCATTCTCTCTCTAGTTACCTGGAGAAGAGCAGCTGCACCATGTCCACCAGCGTGTGCTCAGCTGACTTTCTCAGCAGCTCTGTGATGAGAAAAGAGCAAAACCAGAGGGAAAAAAAAAAAACAGAGAGAAAGAAAAGGAAATGTTAGTCCAGAGGACAAGAGCAGCACCTCAGCGGCTCAGAGTCCAGACTCTGTTTGGTCAGGATTAGAGCAGGGGTTTATTACAGTCCTGAGAGCACAGGAGGCAGATTCACATATTGAGCAGTTCAAGATTCAGGATGAACAACATTTAGATTTTATACAAAGCTATTTACAATGCACTTTAAGCATACATTTTCCCCTGGGGATCAAACTCATGACCTTGGCATTGAAAGAGCCATGCTCTCCAAGCTGAGATGATACAGAAAAGTGAAAAGCACAAAGAAAATCAAAAAAGACACTTTTTATAGTTTCCCCTTAATTTCACTTACCACTTAATCTCATTTCAAAGCATATACGGAAACAGGACTGCATGATCTCACAAACAGATTCATTGGTCAGATGGGCTCCAACGGGAGTCAGCAGCAAAGTCCTTAAAACCTGGAAATAATAATATAATTAATAATATAATAATGATTTAAAAAATTACAAAATCTTGTACTCAAACCACTTATCTGGATGCATATCAGACTAGTATGCAGTACTGGATTATCAGATTAATCATCTGATTCCCTAGATTTTTGCGTTTTAATATGTTGCAATTTTATTTTATAAGTACAAATATTATTTGTTATATATACACTGATGTTTATAAACAGTATAATAGAGATAGAAGACATTTATAATGTTACAACAGATTTCTATTTCAAATAAATACTGTTATTTTGAATTTCCCATTGATCAAAGAATCCTGAAAAAAAAACATACATCATGGTTTCCACAAAAATAAGCAGTAGAATCATTTTCAATAGTGATAACACCACAAAATCAGCATATTAGAATGATTTCTGAAGGATCATGTGACATTGAAGACTGGAGTAATGATGCTGAAAATTCATTAGTGATTTACAATCACAGGAATAAACTATATTTTTAAAATATAGTAGTCAACATTTGAAGTGGATCAAATAAGTTAATCAAAGTTGTCCTAAGACAAGAACGCATTTTGGTTTTCGGACAACTTTGATATAAGGTTTTGATCCACTTCAAATGTTGACTAGTGTACATTAAAATGCGATCCATTTTAAACTGTAATATTATTTCACAATAGGATTGTTTTTACTGTATTTTTGAGCAAATAAATGCATTCTTGGTTAAGTGACTTAAAAAAAAAATAATAATAAAATAAAAAAACATACCAACCTCAGTTTGAACAGTAATGTACTTTTACATGTATTTAAAAACAAACAACAATTATTTAAAATATGTATTAAGATATTTTTTGTTTATTCAATTATTTTTAATATATTTATAATGAATATTATTATTGAAAATATTCACGATAATTTTAAAAAATATATTTTTTTCATTACAAAACAAAAAAAGAAAAGTTGGCACTACCACACAATACGTAAGAGATCTAGTGTGATTGTTTTCTAGTGCATTACCTGGAGGATTTTCATCAGCACCACCTCATCACTGGCAGGGTCGGTGCCCACAAATCTTGCATGTGTGACTGCGTCGGCCATGTTCTCGATGCCCTCCGCTGCCCCTTCATGATTGGCATCTGTGGAGGACAGGGACGTGAAATTTAAAACAAACTAAAAATATCCTAATATATTCCCCCTCACTCTCTCATTAATGTTCCTGATTCTCAGCCAGATAAGTTGTACGTGGGTCATAATGACATGACCATGGTTACATGATTAATCTTACACAATTAACCTGGTCACCGGTTCAACCCCCACATCACTATCAACTGACCACACTCCAGGTGAAGAGCGCCGAACAGCCATCTGACATCTAAATCACCAGATGTGTGCGCTTTTGTGGACGGCCTGGTAAATTGGCTGTCTAGGCAACGATGTTTTGAAACCCAAGATAGGCCAGATAGCAGGCTGGAGCCAGGCTGCTTTTTCTTTCCCATCGCCTTTAAAGAGCATTTCATTAACTAATAAGCACAGGCTGCCTGGGGAGGAGGCTGGGGCTGTGACTGCAGGTAAAGCCTTGACACAAGAGTGCATTCCACTTATTAGCAGGCAAATAACACACAGAAAGAGAGAGAGAGAGACTGAGACACAGGACAGCCTTTACTCTGAGTGAGAACCCAGATAGTTGGATAGTCTGGAGAAAGGCTTCAAATCGCCAAACTTTTTAATAATTGCCCAGTGATTAAATAGGAGGGCAATATACTGGTTGAAGCCAGGTTCATTTCTACCACTGTTATGCAAAATGTTGTCAGATATGGAGGAGGAGCTTGTGTGGTGTTGACCCTCCGCTAAGCACCGCCCCCCTGTTACAGCTGCCAACACTTTCAAGCTTTACTACAAGAGCCTGCCTGTTCAACTGCGAGAAACAACTGCATTAAATAAATGAATACAAAAACTATTAAATAATGTGCATTTAAATTTAATTACTATATACTATACTATATAGTTACTATATATAACATTATATTATACTATATTATATACACTATAATTCAAAAGATTGGAGTCAGTATGTGTTTTTTTTATTTATTTTTTTTTATAGTTATATATTTATATATTTATATGTTATATATTTATAGTAATGATGCTTATAAATGATCAGAAGTGTAAAGAAAAGAAAAGAAAAGAAAAGAAAAGACTTTTACATCGGAGGAGACACTACAGGTAAATAGTATAAAAACTAAATAATAAAATTTCAAGTTGTTGTATTACAAGTTTTCTCCAAAACACATGAATACAATTTTGTATTAATACAAAACTAGTAATCATTTATAATAATGTATTAAATTGAGAACATATATTTTTTCCATATATAATTAAATTAGGAACAAAATATTATATTAGCTAAATATTTAAAGCTGCAGTCCATAAGTTTTGCCTCTTTATCGCCATCTGTTTGAAACCTGCAATTGCAGTTATTTGCGGAAATATTTTCTTTACGTGAGTTGTGCACCGGCACGGCTCCTCAGCACGGATGAATCTAATGTTTTGAGGAGTATGTGTGGCTGTCAGTCACCGCACTGGTGTAGTACTTTAGAATCACAGACTCTAGCCTAGGTCTTGGAATATATGACCCAAATAAAAAGTTTCACCGGAAATTTCATCTGAACAAGTAACAAGTCTGCCACTTTTGTTCTGACCAACTGAGGAAAAAAGCATTACAATAAATCGCACTACCAATGGTGATTACATCTATCTACATCATATTGCATAAAACCATGCAAATTATTGTTGTTATACTTTGTTCTCTTTCTAACATTCGTTCGGTATCTCACTATGGGAACACCCCAGGTGTGACCGATTGCAGAAGCACCAATAACACCACGTCTGCCAACCACGGCAGACCAATCGCTGCAGCGATCAGGGAGTCCCACCTCCCTGTATATAAACCGCAGCTACCTGCCGTCTCGTCATTCTCGCTCTCTTCCCCATGGAAGATTTTCGGAAGCTATCCTCAGCAGACTTTGAGAATTATTGCTCAACAGTTTACTGACGAGGCCGCAAGGTAACGTCACGAATGCAATTTTTTCCTTAAAGTTTCTTCGCTGTGGCTGAGCTTGTCCAGACTCCCTGAGAAAGAGAAAGCGGAGTTTTTGAATGCCCCCATCGATCCAAAAGCTCTGTTCAGAGCGACTGTTACAGCGATGCGGCAACAATGCGATCTATGGAAGACGGAAGGGGAGGCATTCGAGGTTTGTCTCCCCAGAAAGCCGGTGGCTCGGCCTTATAATTCGAGCTGGTCAAGTTTCAGACCCTCTGGGAAAGTAGGCTAGTCTGATTATCAGCATTCCCTCCCCGCCGCAACAACTGCGAAGTGCGGTCACGTAGACAAAACCTGGGTTTGTGAAACCGAAACCGTCGTACGCAGCCGCAGCAGCGAAGCATCGTTCAGCTAACCCCCAGGGTAACAAGAAGCGGCGGGCTACCCGAGACATCTGTTCAGTTTCAGGAAGGGATTGGAGACAGCACTCAAGAGTTTCTCTGTCTCATCCCTTCAGAACGTTCCACTTCTTCCTCCCGTGGGGAAAAGGAGAAGGGGTTCGACTACAAGAATCGTTCCTGCAGACCGTTCAGTGTCAAATGTATCAGAATCAGAATGAGCTTTATTGCCAGGTATGTTTACACATACGAGGAATTTGTTTTCGTGACAGAAGCTTCCAGTGTAACAGAATGACAGTGACAAGATGGAAAGAGGGATTCAAAGTGGGAGTGTGCTGGATGTGAGGGGTCCATAGTGATTCTGCCAGCCATTTTGCTCACTCTGGATGAGTACAGTTCTTGGAGAGAAGGGGGGGTTGTACCAGTGATTCGCTCAGCAGTCCGGACTACCCTCTGTAGTCTTCTGAGGTCAAATTTGGTAGCTGAGCTGAACCAGACAGTTATTGAAGTGCAGAGGATGGATTCAATGATGGCGGAGTAGAACTGTTTCAGCAGCTCCTGTATGTATGCAGACGTGTGGCCCATGTTCCCCAGGTGCCCACCGAAACAGTGAATTTCCCTTCCTTCGCCGCTAGAGGGTGTCGCAACATCGCTAGTGAGCGAAGACAGGAAAGGCCCTCTCGCTGCCCAGGTAACGAACTGGCGCACATGCGCAGTTCATTCCCTGGGTTTTAGCCACTATAAACAGGGGCTACAGACTCCAGTTTGCTGTAAAACCTCCGGTGTTCATTGGCGTGGTAATGTCAGCGGCCCAGGGGGAGTCAGCTCGTGTTCTGGAGGAAGAAATATCCTCCTTACTGATAAAAGGAGTGATGAGAATAATTCCAACAGAAGAAAGGCAACGGCTTTTACTCCCGTTATTTTGTGATTCCCAAGAGAGGGGGAGGTCTCCGTCCCATTCTGGATTTTTGAGCCCTCAACAAACACCTCAGAAAGTAGAAGTTCAAAATGCTTTCACTCAAAACATTGTAGAAACCCTCAGTAGATCTCCAGGACGCATATTTTCACATAGATATCTTTCCTGCGCACAGGAAATATCCGAGATTCGCATATCAAAATACAGCATACGAGTATGCGAAAATTCCCTTTGGCCTCTCCCTAGCTCCGAGAATTTTTAACAAATGTGTAGAGGGAGCTCTGACTCCATAAAGGAATATGGGAGTCAGAGTATCGTCTTATCTAGACGACCTACTCGTGTGTGCACCGCCTCCGCACCAAGCAGTGGTCGATACAAATACTCTGGTGACTCATCTGGAGAGACTAGATTTCAAGATAAACCAGACAAAGAGT